ACCAGTGCTCTATTTTTTTTTGTTTAAAAGTCAAAATTTGTTCTTGCTTTGGTAAAGACCCTCTCTAATCACTATCGGTAGCGGTGTGGCCGGCTGACTAATTGGATAACTGGGCCCTTAAAGTAAAGAGGAAGAGTACATCAGATTCATGAGGAAGACATGCTAACTTTTCTCCTGACGCAGAATTTCATAGTAAGACGTATAAAGGTGTTTTTCCACATTTCCCATTTTCGAGGCTATGATCCTTATCGGTAGTGCGATTTCCATGTGCCCCTATTTGGAAATCCTTAGTCTCTAATTTTGTAGAAATAATACTCACACTTTCAAATTTTATCTAAGTTATGAATAATGTAACCCTTTTTGACATAACACGCCTTCAAAATGATTGGCGGATGATTGCTGAAGTCTCTGCTAGTAATAAGGGACATGCAACACCTACTCTCTCTCCAGAACAAGTGGCTATTCTCGTTCTCTATGGTAAATCATTAATATTCCTCAAAACAAACATATGTCAATTTGGGGATTTCTAGGTGCCGCACGGGTACGACAGCAAGTAAAGAGCTTGAAAAATCTGCAAAAAAGCATAGCTTTGGAGGTTAGTCTTTATCTTCTTTTGTGAACATTTTTGTTATGGAGAACGTGTCATCGGCCCTCCCTGTATCAAAAATATCTTGTTAAATAAAATGTGGTTTTTTGAGACTTTTTTCTTTTATGACTTGCGCCTAAAGTTTCGAAATCTAGAACCGCCAAATCTGAGATGGTTAGAAAAGATGAAAAGTTGCCTTTTCCTTTTACAATGGTTTTTTTTATCAGGAGGTCAGCACTGAGCCTGACTCGGATAGTGTGGACGAGCCGCAATGCCACTGGCTCAATGAGTTCGAGATACCTATCCCTTGCACTCGCGATTACCACGCCAGAGAAATTGTTTTCCATGACTTATGGCGTAAAGGCTATTATTTGACTAGTGGGGAACAATTTGGGTGTTCTTACCTAGTCTATGAAGGTAGGTTCTGTTTCATCTTGACCCGAAATTTTCTTAAATTGTCATTTTCTTTTAAATATAATCATAGCTTTGAAGGTCTCCCTGGTGAGGTTCACGCTAAATATTTGTTAGATTATGTCATGGAGGAAGAAGAGCTGTCAATTTTAAATATAATCTCTCTTGTTCGAGTTGCAACCCAGGTAATTTGTAATGTTTTGAGTCTCCATTGCATCATGAAACTATCATTTAGGTAAAGAAAGTTTTGCTCCTAGCAATAGTGGCTTCTGATAGCAATCAACCTCATTATCTCACTTTCAATTGGTTCAAACCTTATTCGAAAGAGTTCGAATAATTACTGTTCTATTTTTTCTAAATCTATCTCATGGTGTC